TGGTCACTCACAACAGCAGCCAGTGATGCTTGACTTCGGTGATCTGCTGGGAACCGTGTCTTAACGTTCAGTCCATTGCGGGACCAGACATTTCTGGATACGTGTTCATTGAAAAACGGATTTAAAATAGTACTTGATGCCAGTAAAAGAATTGAAATATGGTTTACCTCATTTTTGCATGTGTTTTTATGGATACAAAAAGATTTGAAACTATCTGATTCCTGTAAAAAAAATTGAAATATGATTCTAGGCATTTTTTGCCTGGTTTTTAGTGCAGTCAATGGATTAAAATACAACATTATATATATGCTTTGTGCTATTCAAAATCGATGCAATAACTTCGGTTAGTTAGCTTTTGCAAATACCACAATACATCTATGTATAATCTATCAATGAAGTGTCAAGATTTATGACGGCAGTCTAATCTCTATCGATTGACAATTAGCAGCAATGGAGGACAATTGAAATCTGCAGCAGTATTATTTCCGACACTCAATTTATGCATGAATACTTTTTGAAACAGGAGTCTTATAGAGGGCACTCATAATATCTGTTTTTGAAATAACGGGCACACACTTGACAGTTTACAGCAATGGAAGACAATCTAAATACATGGTGGCTGTATTATTCCCTACACATAATTTACGCACGAATACTTTTTTTAAAACAAGGGTTTAATAAGGTGCGCTCAAGATCTCTATATTTGTGATAATGGGCACACACTTGACAAAGTTTTGGTATTTTTAAAATAAAAAAAAATCATGGCGCAAAACGTATCAGTGTCTTAAACTCTTCGCGACTTTATGTTTGTGCGAAATTTAGAATGGAGAGCTGTTAGAAATTATAATATTCTTATGGTACTATAAAATATATGGGAACGAATATGGGAATTGAATATGGAAAAGTATGGGAACCCTCGCTATAAAACATGCATGCATACACCAAACGTTTATAAATCGCTTTTTATTTATAGTTGCTAATTAAATGTTAAACATCAAATTTTTATATGTATAAAAACATACTGTTCTCACATATATCGACTTGACATATGGTAATTAGTTTCATATTTCCAATTAAATTTAATGGTAACGTCTTCTCATTACACGTTTGTTGACAGGTTAGCTTGTATGCTCTCCTCTGGCAATTGCAATGCCAATATTTACTGCCTCAATAACTTATCTTCGATTTTCAATTTACTGTTGTTCCAGCATCAATTGACACGATAATTATAAGGTGGAAGCGTGATTGTAACTCTGATATCGGTAAATCAATAATGTCTTCGAAGAATCAATTACACCTTTCAGCAGCAACAAGATTTATGAGGTTAACCTGATCGGGTATAAGTAACTTTTTCCTTGGCAAAATATAAGTTTTCTTAAACTGAAACGAAACTTTTTCGTTACCACTCAGATTTGACGTGTATGTGATGGCACATACCTGCCATCTTTTATTTTGCAAGACTAATTGATTTAGATTTTAGCTATTTTTCTTGTTCAACAAATTTCTATGAAGAATTAATAATTAGATTAGTTTAATTTATTCCAATTATTATGTTTAATTGTTCTTTTAAGTACAGTATGCCCATGAAAGAATGTCCAATCATGCCATGGAATATTCTTCAGTACTTTATTAAAGGTCTTTACTATGTTCAGCCACTTAGGATTTGCCTTAGTTAAGAAATAAAGAGGAGTCCAGACTTATTCTGAGAAGAGGAAGACTAAACTCTATTATTTAATTTTTACAAATAATATTATGCTGGATCTTGCAGTATCTTTCGATACATGTCAAATACAACGCGGGAGGCCATCACCATATCAGAATTTTTTCCTACAAAATTATACCGATACAGTTCTTCAATCAGTAGTTTTTAAAAGGTTGTTCAATAGAATATATTTATCTGTTTTTAGATGTAATTTGCGTTATGCTAATTTTTTTAGCATCATCCAAATCTGTTTTCATTAATTTAAACTGTAATAAAATTAAATTTAAAAAAAAATCTGAAAAACTGACATCAAGTATGTAATTTTAAATTACTCACTCCAAAATACAGATCAGATATTTTTAAGCTTTGAGAAAAAAAATTCCTTAGAAGTTCTAAAAATTTTCAAGTGTTAATTATCCTAATCTAATAAAGCTATTTCGTTATTTTCCATCTTTTTTTAAAGATATTGTGCTGTCAAATGATACCATGAAATAAACAGTTTGTTAAGTACAAATGTATATAATATCTATATCAGGAAAGCGAAAATCAAAAGTTTTAGTTAGAAAATCCAAGATTTTTTAAATTCCAAGCAAAAGTCGAGGCCTCTTAAGGCTCAATGTGTGTCGGTATAGTTTAATGATGCATGTATTAAGCACTTGTAAGAAGAACGAGATTAGCTTACTTTCAATTTAATGTTATGAACAGTCTAAATTAAACTGTTATGATATGCGGTTGTAACTTGGATATATTGGATTTCATAAAGGTCACGTCACCCTGTGGTATATATTTTCATGGAAATGAACTACTTTTATTAATTAATAACATCTCATGTAGTTTAATAAAATAATAATAAATAATCATGAATGAAAAGCATTAACGACAAAACTATACACTGAAACAATTTGTCTGAATGAGATTCTGTTCCGACACCCGGTGGCTGAGTGATAGCGCTTCCCGCTCTCGTGCCCCAGGTCCTGTGTTCGATCCTCGGGCTGGGCAAGGTTGACTCAGCCTTTCATTGCTTCAGTTGGGTCGATAAATGAGTACCAAGCATGCTTGGGAACTAAACAATGGGGATTTCGTGTTCGGTTGACCACCTAACGGGAACATCTGCTCATGCACCCTAGAGCCTAAGGTCAAGAAAACTGAGATGGGCACAGTAGGCCTTGGCCCTCTATGGGCTGTGACACTACTGAGTTTAGTGTTTTTTTTTTTTTTTAGAGATTCTGTTGCCTCATCTCTTTCCACGGGGGACCCTGTCCAAATCACTTTTGACTGTGCGAAAATCTGTCCCCTGCATTATTTTGCTCACGAGAGTGTACTTGGTGATAGATGCTGTGTTTATGCATCCCACTGTCCCAAAGTTTTTTGACGGGACATCCCACTCTCTTAAAAGTTTTGAACTAGACATCCCATTGTACCAAATTTTATTTCTCCCTCTTTTTTCCCTTTTGTTTAAAAATGTCTATTGTAAATAAATAAGAGGCATTTTAACAGGATAAAATAGTATACGGTGAAATTTTCTAAGAAATACATATCTGTAAAAGTTGTGCCATCCGATTCCGTGGATAATCGCAAGTTTACTGTAAAATTATTTATGTGAGTAATCTTAAACATAGCAAAATATTTCTTCTCAAATCATAATTTTTAAAGGAAATTATACCGTAAAAGATGATGTCCTTGGACCATCCTCTATGCCCTTTGTAGAACGTTTTATATTTTACTCACATCTCGTTTAAATTCTACGGAGCATGTTTTATGAGACTGATGAAAATTTGTTTTATCCCCCCCCCCTTCTAAACTCAGAAGAGATAGCTTGTCATAACTGAGCTAATTCCCTAAAACATAAAGCAATCTTTATTTTCTTTAAGAATGAATCAAATTAGAATGAGATTTATTCTCGTTGTCTATCACAAAATCGCCCTAAAGTAGGTTTATTGCTGATTAAAAGGAAAAATTAACAAAAAATGAAGCTGATTCTCTGAACTGAGTCTGAAATCTTGAGCATAAAGATATATTTGAGATATTACCATACATAATTAATCTATAATTTTATTTGGAAACTTCATATTTTTTACTATCTAAGCGAACTTTACTTTAAAATTAAAATCAATCCATCGTTGAGAATTGTAGTGAATAAAATTACAGATACATTCATTTAGGCTTATCATTTGTATTCTTTTTGTTTTTAATGGTGAACATTTACTTTTGCCAAGAAAATTAAGTACGAAGACAGGACTTAAATATGAAATAAAAGGATATCATTCAATTACGTGAGTTTGAGCCATGGTAGCTTAGGGGTTATAGTGTTCGCCTCCCAATGAGGTTACCCGGATTCGAGTCCCTGACGGTGGCTTGTCAATACGAATTCTGCACCCAACTCGCGTTGACCACAATGCTGACCTAAAATATCCTTCGTGGTAGGCGGGTCCTGGGATAAGAGTCCCTTGCCGTCAAGCTAACCGTGGGAGATTTCCATGTTTTTTTTTTCTAAATTAAGCGCAAATACGTTTTAGCTCCGTCAAAAAGTTCTTCACAAAGGCAAATTTCTCTCAATACTTGATCCAGGAGTTCCCTTGTCTTCTGGATTGGGTTAAAAATTACATTACTAGGCTACGAGTTGAACATTCATAGTCGTAAACTCAAAATTAGATCGGCTGTTCAGAGACGATTATAAGACAAAATAAAAAATTACAAAGGTTTTATCTTTGCAACAATATTTACCCTAGTAAAATTTAAATGCAACAATTTATCTCAATGTCATTTGCATTTAAATGGAAAGTGTACTGTTACACTGAATGACAATTTAAGTAGTCATATAAATTGTAGGTAGGACAAATTCAAATGAAGCATCTTTCCCATTAATTAAGTTTAGTTTGCTACTGCAAGAAGAATTCAGGTAGCAAACGCATTTCCTTAATCAATTAAAGAATTATAAAAAGATTGATTTATAACAGCAAAAAAAGCCTTAAGCGATTTCTAAATGTTGTAATCATTAAAAAAAATTTTTTCTTGATTTCTGAATTTTATTTGATTAATTAAGACCAGAATCGTAATCATCAAATAAAACGCTGGTAAATGTCGCACCATAAAAAAAGTTTCACTTTCAAATAGGATTTCTATGTGTGAATAAACGTAGTGTTGGTAGCTAAAAGTAATTTTTGTTTTAAATTCTCAATTTTATACATATATGTATGTATTGCATTTATTTTTAAATTGTTATAGCTATTTATTGGTAAATAATAAAAATAAATCCTGTGCATTGCTTCGAACTGATTTTTTCTCTCTTTATTTTCAGAAGTGACTTCAAAGAACCTCTGTGATCCTTTCAATGTTCTTTACAGTTTCGACCTAAGCAGCATTCCTAGGCACGAACAAGTGTCGGCCGCTGAACTAGTCTTGTACCGAGAACAATCTTCTCAAGATCGGAAACCAATTCACAGGGTGCAGGTGTTTGATCTCCTGCGACCCAGAACCCCCAACACAAACTCTATCCAAAGACTACTCGACACCAAGGTGTTTCGAAGTTCATCATTGGGTGAATGGGAACATTTTGATGTGCTTCCAGCTGTTCATAGATGGCGGCACAATCCGCATGAGAATTATGGACTGCAAATAGAACTAGTGAGCACAGCAAATACCACTGAGTCACAGACAGTCAGATTAAAAAGATCAGTGGGTGAAGATCCTCATAGGTGGAATCAAGTCGAACCATTATTGGTTACTTACTCGTTTAATCCAACGAACTCAAAAGTTGATTCATTATCTAGGACTAAACGTAATGTTCGAAAGCATCGGCGAAAAGGCCGAAAAGACAATTGCCGGCGTCACGCATTGTACGTTGACTTTAGTGATGTTGGTTGGAATGATTGGATTATAGCTCCTCCTGGTTACAATGCTTATTTTTGCCATGGTGATTGCCCTTTCCCATTACCAGATCACCTAAATACAACTAATCATGCAATTGTACAGACATTAGTAAATTCTGCCAATCCTGCGGCAGTACCCAGAGCTTGTTGTGTACCTACTGAACTATCGCCTATTTCTATGCTATACAAAGACAAATTTGATAATGTTGTACTAAAGAACTACCAGGACATGGTTGTTGAAGGATGTGGTTGCCGTTAAGATTCTTTGTCTCTTTCTTACATCAAATTTTAACAATTAGTCGCCAATCGAACGTGGCGTATTTTTTATTGTTTTGGTTTGCCGTTCTTGCCTTTAGATCCCTTGAATGTTAACAAAAAAAAATGACAAAAGCTTCTTGTGACTGTTTTCAGCCATAATCAAAATCCATATTGCGTCATACTCTTGATTAATAAATGAAAGCCTGTCTCATACGCGTGAGAATAAGAATGCTATTATTTAAAAAGAGCAAATATATTGAGAATAAAAAACCGAGAGAGTTGCATATGCTGCCGCTTTTTTCTTTTTTTTTTTTAACTCACGTAGCAAAAGTTTCAATAGGTACTTCATATTTTATAAAAGTGACATCTTGTGATTATTACCTCATAAGAGAATTACCACAACACTAGAAGCCGAAAAGTTTGTGACAGAAAATAACATAAATAAGTTAAACATAATAACATTAAACATAAATAACATAATAATGTGACAGAAAATAACATGTGACAGAAAATAACTAAAAAAAAATAATGTGGAGGCACTGGCATGCATGGCAGCATCGTCGAGGGGGGGGGGCATTATCATGCAGTCAGTGCGGGAGCAGTTTCTATGGTTGTTGGTAAATTACCACTGTGTCCTCCCTAACGAAGCTGCCATGTATGTCAGTGCCACTACTTTAATGTCGNCATTATCATGTAGTCAGTGCGGGAGCAGTTTCTATGGTTGGCGTTAGGATAGATGATATTCCTGTTTATGTTATTTTTAGGATGTTATTTCCCTTTTAATATTTTGCGGTTTTCTCCTGTTATGGTAATTCTTTCAGTTCTCTTATATATTTATTCATATCAAAAAGGCAAAAGGGCTTAAGAGCATTCTCACACGCGTTGGACAGCTAATTGGGGGGTAGTAACTGATGCAATCTCAATTTCAGGAGAAAGCTGCACTCAAGGGGGCTAAAGGCAACGGCAAATTACTGTGTCGCAATAATCGTTTTAGGTGCTGTTTATGCAATTTACGGCTGTGATTTATCTATAAGAATGTATTTACATTAGTCTTTTCTATTTTTTTAACCATATCATTCATTATTATTGTCACAAATTTCAGTGCAATGCGCTGATTTATATAATAAACGAAAATTATTTCACTGACACCTAATACCTAATCAAATAATTTTTATATTTATTATTTAAGACATGATTTTGTACTATTAAATAATGTATTTTGATATTTCAATGCATTCCATACGTTAGAATTTTCATAATGCTTTTATTAATATAATAATGATCTGAATCTCATCAAAATCTATGTTTTAAAGATAATATCTACTAAAATTTTCAAATTATGTTGTACATAATATCTTAGAAAAGTGCTTGAAAAAGTTAAAGCCAATCATTCCTGAATTATGAAATTGTTATTTTTATTAACGTAAATTTTTTAAATTGCACGAAGATAAAATGTTTTGAAGAATATTGTCTCGACCTCTGTTAGCTCAATTCCTTAGTAGAATTAATATTGTCTGAATCTTAAGCTACGCAATTAATGTTTTAGTTTTAAATTATTCAATGAGTTTTAAACTGAAAAATAAAAATATGATTTTTCAGAATCCACAGTTGGTTATGTCGGAATAATCTGTTTATATTTTTTTCTCAGCAGGTACGAGAAATATTTTCAAGATAATTAATTAAACTTTAAAGTAAATTCTTTTATATCCTATAATACCCTAAATAGCCCTTTTTTAAATCTTGTCTCAACTGATTTTTGATAAACAACTAAAAGTTATCAATTAGTTTAAAAATTAGAATGTTGTAATTTCATCTATAAAATATAGTATACTGAAAACTTGAAAATTCAAAAGCTAATATCTTATTATTGAAATTAATATTTATAATCTTCTCATGCCATGAAATAAATGCAATTTTTTCGTCTGAATAAGATTGTGTTTAACAGTGAAAGCTCCTTTTCCACAGATTCTTACACGAACTTAGTTTAGTCATAGAATACATTGACAAACACTAAATTTTTATATCAAATACGTTAATACATCGATATTCCCACCAAGTCTATAAATTTTAATCTTCTGATATTGTTTCAGAAACAAACTTGTGTGGTTTTTATACATTCCTCTCTTGCTCTTTTCAAATTCATCAAAGATACCATTTAAATAGTATTTTCTTTGATCTTGATCTTTCTCATATTCACTAAAATAACATTTATAATATAAACTTATGATAATTCACAAAATTCTTCAACATTGATTGTTCTTGTATTCACTATAATAGCACTTGTATAATATGTTCTTCTTTCTTTGATTTTGATCTTTCGCATATTCACTAAAATAACATTTATAATATAAACTTATGATAATTCTCGAAATTCTTCAACATTGATTGTTTTTGTATTTACTGTAATAGCACTTGTATAACATGTTCTTCTTCCTTTGATTTTGATCTTTCTCATATTCACTAAAATAACATTTATAATATAAACTTATGATAATTCTCCAAATTCTTCAACATTGATTGTTCTTGTATTCACTATAATAGCACTTGTATAATATGTTCTTCTTCCTTTGAGTTTGATCTTTCTCATATTCACTAAAATAATATTTATAATAAAAACTTATGATAATTCACAAAATTCTTCAACATTGATTGTTCTTGTATTCAGTATAATAGCACTTGTATAATATGTTCTTCTTCTCAGCTCCTTATTTTGATATTTTCAATTTACTAAAGTACTGCTTACATATATTCTTCCCCTAAGTTCTTTAAATCTTGATTTTTCTTATATTCACCAAAATACCACTTACAGGATATGTTCTTTCTTGATTTTTTATTTATTTATTATTATTCACCAAAATTCCGCTTATATAATATGTTTTTCCACTACGTGCTTGAATCTTTATTTTTCTCATATTTAATAAAATACCTTTTATATAATATGTTATTCCACTAAGTTCTTTAATATTGGTTGATCTTATATTCACTAGAATACCGCTTATATATATTCTTCCTCTAAGCTTTTTGATATTGATTGTTTTATATTCTCACTAATATATCAAACACAATATGCTCCGCCACTTAACTCTTTATTTATTATTCTCGAATTCACTAGAATGCAATTTATGTAGTATGTTCTTCCATTAAGCTCCAATGTTCATATTTTCAAATTAACTAAAATGCCTATTATATGATACGTTCTTCTAAGTTAAGCAATCTTGATTTTTTTTCTTCTAAAATTCCACATATAGAAAGTGTTCTTCCACTAAGCTCTTGTTATTTACAGAGGAGGGGGAAGTAAGGCACAATACCATTTTTTTTTTAAATCTCTTACAACTAGTACATATATATCTAATTTTATCTTTCTCATTGTTTTTAATGAAGAGAAAAATGTCACTAAATTATTTTTTTAGTGGAAATTGATTTTATGATTCCCGATTACTTTGTATATGTGTGAAAATGTTTATATAGATTAGATTATTGTTCCAAAAAAGAATGAAAAAAAATGGTTTTAATTTATTGAATTTCATCCTGTAAATGCACACATGGCATAAATTGTAAGTAAGTATTTATTTGTCTTTGCATCACAGGTAAATATAGATATATATATCATGTACATATTGCCTTGTAAATATATTGGAAGTGAGTTATGTTTTAAGTATGTGTTCTTTAACTTTAGTAATGAACATGCTTGTTGACTAAGTTACTATTTTGTATTGTAAGACTTGTAAATAAAAGTTGATACTTTTTTAAGTTTTGATAATGATTTTTTCTTTTGTTTTGTTTATTGATTTACTTTTGTTTAATGATTTCTTTTTTCTTGCACCAACTTATGCTAAACTCAAAAAATTATTCTTAACATTTTACAAAGAAATCATTATATAATAGAAAAAGAAAGTGTTCATACTACCTTTGTAATTAAATCACTATAATTTGATGAAGGTATTGTTAAGAAGTTTCCATCCTGGTACATGCAATTGTCCATTGTAGATTATAGAGTTTTAAACCGCTACGAACTATCATCTCTATTTAATCTAACTATTTTCCTGCATAATGTTTAGGTCTGTTCACTATATTTAAATGTATAAAAACAGTGGATAAAAAGATTATATGTTCTCTTGGCTACTCTTTATCAAAACCCATGGGTTTTTATTGTGTTAATAAAGTAAATAATGTTGTGAGGAGGAAAAGTACAAACTAACCAGTTGGTGCATGCATTGTGTTTTCCTGTACACTGTTAGAAATTTTTTGGAAAAAGGATTAAATAACTGTTTATTTAATTGTTATTTCACCATATTCAAGCAGAACAGTCAAATTACTATATATAAGATGGTATTCAAACTGCTAACTGTGAGAAAAATCTACTTATTAAATGATTTCACCTAGTAAGGTTAAGCAACTAATATTTTACAGCAACGACTTAGCCCATTTCATGAATCATCTTTGCTCCTTGCAGCTGAGTGCGTATTACAGCCGACAGTGCTAATTTGCCAGTCACATGACCCACAGGACGGTGGCTCGAGTCTCAGCGTTGACACTGAAATATTTCTTCTTTTCTGCACCTGAAGAATTTCCAGGGAAATTACCAAACGAAAAGCCTAGCTCTAATGTCCAGTTAAATTTCTTTTTTACGGTTTTGAAGCCATGCTAGTTATAAACGAACCGTATAGTTTTGTATTTGTGGTTTTATAAACATAGCAGTTGTAAACAGTTTCAAAACCATAAATGTAAAAAATGTTCTTTACAGTAAACTTTACGGTTAATTGGATGGACAGATTGCTACTGGTTATTTAACTATAATTTTAGAATGGAAATTCTAACAGTGCATTAAATGTTTTATAATAAAGTGCAAATAGTAATACAATTAAAGTTATTTTAAAAATAACACAATTTTGAAAATAAACAGCAAAGGGGGGGGGGTATACATCAATATAATGATTTTTGTACAATTTCGTTGCAACCTTTGATATAGTCCTTTCAAATACAATTTATGATGACCTATATTATATTTTTGTCCAATATTCATTTTTTCAGTGAAATAAACATTAAACAATAGGGATAACATTAAAAATATAGGGGTTGAAATTCAAAACATTTAGTCGCTGATACAAAAGACCCGTAACTAAAGCATATTACTTGCCCATACATGTCTGGTCCGATTAGTTTCTGTTAGTTTTTTTTTAAATTAAATAAAGTGAATTTAGATAAAACATTGCAAAACAGAAAATGCGTTGGGATAAAATATGTTATTTTGTGCAAGAAAACAGACTAAAACATGAGACCAATAATCAAAAGAACAAAACAGCTTACCATATTTTTGCATCGATTGCTGGTCCATGGAATCAGTGATAATTTTATTTTATGGTAGGTTGTTCGAGTCAAACTTTAGTCGTTTCTGACTAACGGAGCAAATTTTGATCCCTGTTAAGCATTAAGCTATTT